ACATGCACAATGACTTATTAAAGTAATCAATCAAGTAATAAAAGGAATAAAAATGGAACAAACCAGAAGAAAATGACAATTATATTGATACTCAATAGAACAGTGGTTCATCAACAAAAGGAACAAATAATTATAGACCCAAAGCAAAATAACAGCTGGACTTTGAGGGCCAATACCTCTAGATACTATTCACCCAGAAAAATATAGAATGCCCTCTACACCTCACGTCTCTCATTTTTATTATTGACACACTCGGATTCCTTGTAACTAACTCTGCCACCTATTGCTTTTAGTAATTCCCTTTCCTGCCCCTTCCTCTTTTGTATTATTGAGATACCACGGGTGCATCACAAACCTAAGTGAACTTACAAGGCAAGAGTAGAAGAGTAGTAGACAATACAACCCTCAAATTACAGAGCTTGTATTTGCAATATTCAGAATATTTTATAAGTATGTGTGCCTGCAAGAGCAACATTTGAACTCCTTGAGATTGGTATATGAGTAACATTTTATATATGAGATAACAACCTCAATTTTCACATCTCAGGTCATAATTAAGCAATAAAAGCAGAGCAAAGAAAGTAGAAGACAGCTATCAAAAGCACCGTTCAGGTGAAAAGGAATTTAGGATAATCGGCTAAACATAAAATATTCTCCTGCCATTGACATGATCACACATCAAATGAAATCTAAGCAACCTATGAACCACACTTATTTGTTAGTCTGTACATTTTTATAACTAGGGCTGCACAAAAAGTCCAAAAACCAACCGAACCAAAAAAGGGGACCGAAACTGGTCTGAACAATTAGTTTTTCAGAATAACCAGTTTGGTTTCAGTTTGCAAAATTAAGAAAACCGAAAAACCAGTTCGGTTAACCGTTCAAGTCTAATTTTGAATTGGTTAACCGAAACCGATTTTCCCAAAATATTTAAAACCCATACCTTCAATAAATCTACTTTTGGTTTTCCCCAAAAATTTTAAAAACCATATCTTCTATAAATCTGTTTTGAAAATTAAACCTTTCATCTTGGCCTCTCATCTTCTAAACCACTAAACCTAATCTACTCATCTTCTCAAAGTCAAACACGCCTCTTCTCAAATCTCGCCCAAATCTTAAAGACGTGACATGGGGCATTTGTGATTCAGGGCCGGCTACACAACGCTACAACTTGCGGCATTGGTAGCCATTAATTGCCTTGTGCTTGCGGTTTTGCTAAGCTTTTGCCAGGCCACCACCACTAGGTCGCAACTTGTGGCCTTGGATAGCGACGACGACACCATTGATGATTATTTTGGTTTGTGGGATTGTTTGATTTTGGGTTATGGTTCGATTTTGATTTTTAGGGTTTATTTGGAGCGATTTGATTTGGGATTTTGAGAGCCCAACTTAGCAAAATAAAATATATGATTTTGTTGAAATGTTCAAAGCCAATGATAGAATGTTTGATTTTTGATAAGTAAGAGTGGCGCAGGCGTGAGCCTGAGGGTGACAGTGGGGGAGGAAGAAGACAAGAGGAAGGTGAGGGCAATGTTGATGGGGCGGCTTGAGGGTTGGGTCTGTGTTTAAATTTTATTTTATTTTTTTAACAAAAAAATATTAAATAATAATCTGGTTAACTGGTAACTAATTCGGTTTGGTTAATAATTGGTTCAAGAGATAATCCGGTCCGGTTTCGGTTTGGATTATTCTTTGAACCAAAAAACTGATTTGGTTTGAAAAATGGGTAATCCGGTTCGGTTAACCGGATTTCTGCACCCTTATTTGTAACATCACACTTGGCAGCCTACAATATCTAAGCTAATGTTCTGAAACCCGGACCGGATCGGGCGGTCAAACCAGTCCGACCGGGTTTCGCTGAGATTTTTGGTTTAAAAAGAGTAAAAACCCGAGTTTTTAAGTTAGACCATTTCAAACCGCAGTTGGATCGTCTTACTGTAGCAAACCAACGGTCCAACGGGTATAAGAAACAAATCCGGTCCACTAAGTAAAATTTAAAAATGTGAAAAAAGTTAAAAAAGTTAAAGTCAAACGGTCAAACCCCCAATTTTTTTAATCCATTTTCTATTTCTTTTGCAGATTAGCTGTCTGCCACTTTACTAAATTGAAATTTGCGTTTGCTTTTTGGTTTGCCTTTGCCATTCGCGATCTCCACTCTCTAGTCCAGTCCTCCTCCTCCATTCGTGATCTCGGATCTCCTTCAAGCTTCAGCTTCAGCTTCAGCCTTCAAGTCTTCAACCTCTTCAATCATTGCGATCTCCTCCTCTTCAATCAACCTCTTCAGGCTCCAGTCCAATCCTCCTCCATTCGCGATCTCCTTCAATTTTCAGCTTCAGCCTTCAAGTCTTCAACCTCTTCAATCATCGCTGGTCTGCTACTCTGCTTCTTCCTTACCGTGGCTGGTCTGCTACACTACAGTCGTGATATTACTTTGTAATGCCTTTAATGATGTTTGAAACTTTAGACTTTGAGGATTGAATTTGTAAACATTAAGTCATTAACTATCAAACTTGGATGGTTTTATTATTATTGTAGAGTTGGTTGGATGGGTTTTAGATTTTAGTTACATAAAAATCTGGATTTTTAAATTTTTTTTACTTTTTTTCATTTTTTGCTGACGTCAGCGGTCCGACCGATCGGTCGGACTGGTCCAACCATGAAAACCGGAAACCGGGCCTCTGGCCAAGTTGACTCCCGGTCCGGTTTTCAGAACATTGATCTAAGGTACTAACAACGATTGGTGTCTCGAGTTTATATTGACTAGGTGGCATGACGTCTAGTAATTTCTCAATGTAGATGTTATTGTAGTCCTGTTCCTACATAATCAAATAAAGATAAAACAAGCAGATAATTAAAATAAAAAAAAAATGTGTTAATCCAGGGTTGAATCTGTTAGGTACTGAGCACTAAATAACTGAGGAAAGACAGGTTTACTGTGGCACAGCAATTTTCACTCAAATAAAATCTTTCCCAGTTCATTATGTCGTTTACCAAGTCATGCATACGAATAACCCCATATTTCAACATCTGCCCATAATTGATTCCTGCAAAAAAATACAAGAAAACTTATTATCTATCATAGAACCGGAGGTGCATTTCATGCTTAAATACTGAACACTCAAGTTGTAATCTAAACCGAGAAATCCAACCAATCTTCAGTTTCAGCTAATTAGAATGAAATTTCAACAGCTCGCGTGCTGAAGCGAAAGAGCTTACCTGGAGGCCGTCACCTGCGTGGCGGCACTACTGTGAGCAGCTCCCGGCTCCTATGGCTGCCACAAGAAATTTGCTTGGTCATTTCGTTAGCCTTTGGGAGTTTGATTGCGAGTTTTCTTCTTAATTTTTTTATCGGTGTTTGACGGAGGTTTTGTGAGTATCCATGGTAAGATGATTTTTGTGATGGTTTAAGGTTGGTTTGAAGGTGGTTTTTGCAGTGGATGGGCAGGGATTTTGTGGTGATTTATGGTGATTATTGGTGGTTTACGGTGGTTTTCATAAAATATCCAATTTTACTACATTATGCATAAGTAATTATACAGTATATAATACATAATTAAAAAGTTTTCCCATAAATTCTCTTAAATTTATCTACTGTATATCAATTTATAACTTCTTTTCCACATTTTACTTGTATTCTTGTCCTAAATGAATTAAACCACACACGAAATTAATATAATTACATAACAATATTTTGACAACTTCTGGAACTAGAATTTTTTTTTTTAAATAACCGGGGTGTCCGAGCCAGTTTACACGCACCTCAACTAATCATCTGGGACCCTGAAACTATTAGTTAGGTAAAAGTTTCAGTGTCTATCTCTATTTAACAGCCGAGGGGAGACTCAAACTCAGAATCTCTTGAATAATACATCCAAAAATTTCTATCAAACTATTTGATGATCAAGTTTAATATGGACATTTGTTCTTTTCAAAATAGCAGCAGAAGCAATATTACAATAACTTACTGAAATTACTCATATACCGTAAGATTTTCATATTAGATCTTGAGAAAAATTCCAATAAAAAATAATAATTTTTTTTTTCTAGTTATTAGATTTAATATAAATGTTTTAAATAAGACTCTTGCCACTTAGTGATAAGCCTTTATTTGATATAAAGTTTTTATAAATCACATCTAAAATAAAACTTTCATAAATTAAAAGAAATTATACTACTCCTTTTTATATCGATAAAACTATTTTTAGTACTACAAATAACGACCTGAGACAAGCCGACTTGATTTCTTGTAGATCTGACCTGAAGTAATTAAGGATATATAATTGACCAAAGAATCGTACCAGTTAAGACTAAAGTTAATCTAAAGAAAGTATTATAATCAACCAGTAAACACAAACTAACCACCAAATCAAACAATCACAAAGATTCACACAAATCACATCAACAAAGAGCACAAGATATACCGTGGTTCACTTATCCAAATTGGATAAGCTACGTCCACGTTGAGCTCCGGAAATAGGAGAGCTCGCTGCACTAATTATTTGTAAAGATCCAACCAAACGATTACAAGCCTATCAATCTCTCTTCGTTACAAGAAACCCACACCGTAACTTCTCCTAGAGACACTCACCTGGAATCCCCAAGAACAAGAGCAAATCAGCCCTCTTGATTGATTACTAAACCACCCAATCAACCCAAGTTACAAGAGTTTCTAAAGTGAACCAAAATAGCTCAAAACAGAGAAGAATAACGCGTAAAGGAGTAAACTGTAAAACAGAAGAAAAAGCAGCCAAAAACGCATTCGTTGACTGTGCATCTCTCTCCTTTATATTGTTGACTCATCTATGATTCTCAGCCATCAGATTTGGGAGAATTCAATGATCAAGATTTGTTTCAGCCAAATGCCAAACGCTGCGTTTCATTAAAGTGTAGAGAGGCCTTATTTTAGTCTTCACTTCAACAATCTCCACCTTGAAGACTTGAAACTCAGGTAGTGCAGCTCACTCTAAACCATATCCCTCATAGCTCCAGGTCACTTGTGATTACTCCACTGATAGCAACTTCAAGCAATGATTGAACTTTGCTGGTGTAATGACTTTTGTCCCCATATCTGTTGGATTTTCTTCATTGGCAACCTTCTTCAACTCAACTACTCCTTGGGCAACTAGATCTCTCACAAAATGGAATCTGACATCTACATGTTTGGTTCTTTCGTGATACACTGGGTTTTTACTAAGATGAATCGCACTCTGGCTGTCAGAGTAGATTATGACCTTCCCATCAGATAGATTTGCTTCTGACAACATTCCCTGCAACCACACGGCCTCCTTAAACACATCTGCTATGGCTATGTACTCTGCCTCAGTTGATGACAATGCTACAATGGGCTGCAACTGAGATTTCCAGCTTATACAGTTTCCTCCAAGTGTGAAGTAATAGGCTGTAGTGGATTTTCTAGTGTCCTTATCACCTGCAAAATTAGAATCTACGAACCCAACAAGATCAAGCATAGTAGTTCTTTTGGAGTACTTTAAACCAACACTTAATGAACTGTTAAGGTACCTAAGAACCCATTTCAAGGCAGTCCAATGTTCACTGCCAGGGTTGGACATAAATCTACTAAGCATTGATATAGCAAAAGAAAGATCATGTCTAGTGCTTATCATTGCATACATTATAGAGCCTATTACACTTGCATATGGGACATCATTCATCTTTATCATCTCAGCTTCAGTTTTAGGACATTGACTTTTACTTAGCATAAAATGGTTTGCTAAAGGCGTGGAGACAGGTTTACAGTCAATCATTTCAAACCTATTTATCAATTTTTTTCAGGTATGATTTCTGTTCAAGTTTTAAGCAGTTATTTCTCATATCTCTAGATATAACCATACCTAACATTTTCTTGGCATTACCCAGGTCTTTCATAGCAAATTCTGAGCTTAGTTTCTTTTTCAACTCTTGTATTTTTGACTTAGATCTACTAATAAGTAACATGTCATCAACATACAATAGTAGATACAAAGGCAGATCCTCATCTAAATCAAAATAGAAGCAACTATCATATCTACTTCTTTTGAAACCCAAGCCCACTATGAAAGTATCAAATCTTATGTACCACTGCCTAGGGGCCTGTTTGAGGCCATATAGTGACTTGTGTAACAGGCATACATGATTTGGCATTTTATAATCAATAAAACCTACAGGCTGACACATAAAAATCTGCTCATCTAAGCTGCCATGCAGGAAGGCAGTGGTGACATCAAGCTGCTCCAATTCTAAGTTTTGGTGAGCAGCAATAGAGAGCATAACCCTGATGGTTTTGTATTTTACTACTGGGGAAAAGACTTCACTGAAGTCTATTCCCTCTCTTTGTGTATAGCCTTTGGCAACAAGCCTGGCTTTATACCTAGGGGGATCAGAAACAGACATACCATCCTTTAATTTGTACAGCCATTTACATTGAATAAGTTTCTGGTCTTTGGGTTTAGGTACCAAAGACCAGGTTTTGTTTACCTCTAATGAGTGCATCTCTTCCCTCATTGCTGCTTTCCATTTGTCTTTCTCTTTGGACATCATGGCCTCCTCATACGTTTCAGGTTCTGTTCTTTGGACTTCTGTACCTGCAAGCAAAGAAGTAAATATTAGGTCAGCATAGGAATATCTAGCAGGTGGCCTTACCTCTCTTCTGGTTCTGTCCCTTGCAAGTTGGTAATGATGTAGATCACTTTGTTGATGTTCAAGAATTTCTTCACCAGTTTCTTCTTCTGGTTGTCCATGTTCTAACTGTTCAGTTTCAGTTTCAGTTTCAGTTTCAGTTTGGGGTTCTGTTACTGGTTGGGTAGGGCTAGGCTGATATGTAAGTTGCTCCACCTCAATTTGTGTACTTCTTGTGGGGTTAGGGTAATAATCAGTATTACTAACAGTTTCTTGATCAGTGACAGTGTCTTTACAAGGGAATTTACTCTCATTGAACACTACATCTCGGCTCACTATGATTTTTACCCCAGGTGTTTCCCTATCCCATAATCTGTACCCTTTTGTGCCTTCTTGGTAACCTAGGAATATGCATTTGGTGGACCTAGGCTCAAGTTTTCCCCCCACAGTGTGTGCATAAGCAGCACACCCAAACATTCTTAGGTGGTTCAAATTTGGTTTCCTCCCAGTCCATATTTCTTCAGGGCATTTCCCATTAATGGCGGTGGATGGGCTTCTATTTACAAGGTAGACTGTAGTAGCTAATGCTTCTCCCCAAAATGAGTTTGGTAGTCCTGAGGTAAATAAGAGGCACCTAACCTTTTCTAGTAAGGTTCTATTCATCCTTTCTGCCACCCCATTTTGTTGAGGGGTCCTGGCTACAGTTCTATGCCTTAAAATGCCATGCTCTCTACAGAAACAATCAAACTCAGTGTTGCAAAACTCTAGCCCATTATCAGTTCTTAAGGCCTTTACACTCTTACCAGTTTGGTTTTCCACTAGTAATTTCCACTCCCTAAACCTGTTCAAAGCTTGGTCTTTGGTTTTCAAAGGGAATGTCCAAACTTTTCTGCTGTAATCATCAACTATCGATAAGAAGTAACTATTTCCACCATGAGATTTAGTTCTTTCAGGTCCCCAAAGGTCAGAATGAAGGTATTCTAGGCAGTTTGTGGCTAAGTGAGTCCCCTTTGAGAAACTCAGTCTGTGTTGCTTTCCTAACACACAGTTTTCACAGAATTCCAGGTTAGAGATAGTGTCCCTACCAAACATCCCCCGATTACTTAGGATACTCATACCCTTCTGACTCATATGCCCTAACCTAAGGTGCCATTTTTCAGTGGCAGACAGTTTACTAGGAAGCATAGTAGCATTAAAACATTCAGAGTCAAAAGCACCACACAATATATAGAGACCATTCCTCTTTTCCCCTTTAAGAACAAGGTTCTGATTTTTATACACATACAAGCATCCATTATTAGCCTTATAAGAACATCCAACCTCATCAAGGGTCCCTAAAGATATGAGATTTCTTTTTAAATCAGGGATATACCTCACCTTGGTTAGTTTTACAGTTTTTCCATCAGTTAATCTAAGGGTTATACTGCCTATTCCCTTAACACTACAAGGCTGGTTGTTTCCCATATAGACAATCTCATTTTCATGTAATTCTAGGTCTTGAAACCAGTTCTTGTTTGGGCTCATATGGAAGGAGCAGCCTGAGTCCAGGACCCATTCCTTAGCAGTGTCAGATGTTGACACTGTCAAGACCTCAGGCTCATCCAATTGGTTCTTACTAGATACTAGGTTGCTTTCAGTGTTACCCTGTTTTTGTTTCTTTAACCAATCAAAACAGTTCTTTTTTATATGACCAGGTTTATTGCAAAAGAAACACTTCCTAGTGTCAGATTTAGTTTTATTGTTACCCTTCCATTTTTTCTTGTTTTTAGACCCCTGTTGATACTGATTTGTCTTTCCTGTTTGACTAGATTCTGACCTACTTTTTACAAACAGATTACTCCCAGATCTTTTCTGAACCTTAAGCTCTAGTTCCCTAGCTTTGAGTCCAGCAACTATCAAATCTAAACTAGGTACAGTCCCTGAATACTGCAAAGCATTCTTTACAACAATATAATCTTCGGTTAATGAATTTAGTAAAATCATTGCTAAGCTGGTGTCCCCTAGTTCTTGATCAGTTCCTTTAAGAATTAAAGTCATTTTCAAGAATTCATCTAGGTTATCCTCAATTGATTTAGAACTATCCATTCTGTACGAAAATAAAGCACCCTTTAAAAACGCAAGATTAGGTGCTGAATGTAAAGAATAAAAGGTTTCGAGTTTACCCCATAGGGCTAGAGGAGTTTCTAGCCCATCTACCTTTCGCAAGACATTGTCTGACAGATTCATCACTATGAGGTTGTACGCTTCCTCATTGATCTCATCCTTCTTCTTTAATTTCTCCTCTGGCCACTTGGATTCGTCCTTCTCCAGAGCAATCCCCACTTTGTTGTGGGAGAGTAGAGCCTTCATTTTTTTCTTCCAACTGCCGAAGTCAATCTTCCCGTCGTATTGAGTGATTTCAATTCGTGTAGTTGACATATTGTAGGTGTTTGTGTTTAGATTCAAGAAACCCCAAATTTAGATCCAAAACAGGGGCAGATTCAAATTCCCCAAATTGATGAGTGAAGAACCCTAATTCTTCCAAGAACCTTTCAAATTGACAATTTAACACTTGAATCTATACTACTAGGACTCTAGATTACTACGGAATGACTCAATTTGAAAAACCCCCAAATTTCGACAAACCCTAGAAATTTCCAAGAACCCTAGATTGTTCCAAGATTCACCAAATTGAACGATCCTCACGCCTATTGGCTCTGATACCACTGTTATAATCAACCAGTAAACACAAACTAACCACCAAATCAAACAATCACAAAGATTCACACAAATCACATCAACAAAGAACACAAGATATACCGTGGTTCACTTATCCAAATTGGATAAGCTACGTCCACGTTGAGCTCCGGAAATAGGAGAGCTCGCTGCACTAATTATTTGTAAAGATCCAACCAAACAATTACAAGCCTATCAATCTCTCTTCGTTACAAGAAACCCACACCGTAACTTCTCCTAGAGACACTCACCTGGAATCCCCAAGAACAAGAGCAAATCAGTCCTCTTGATTGATTACTAAACCACCCAATCAACCCAAGTTACAAGAGTTTCTAAAGTGAACCAAAACAGCTCAAAACAGAGAAGAATAACGCGTAAAGGAGTAAACTGTAAAACAGAAGAAAAAGCAGCCAAAAACGCATTCGTTGACTGTGCATCTCTCTCCTTTATATTGTTGACTCATCTATGATTCTCAGCCATCAGATTTGGGAGAATTCAATGATCAAGATTTGTTTCAGCCAAATGCCAAACGCTGCATTTCATTAAAGTGTAGAGAGGCCTTATTTTAGTCTTCACTTCAACAGAAAGAAGTCTCAATCCATCAAAATCCAAAAATCAAATACGTATAGATTATGTCAAATTTTTGTGTTACAATAGTTTTATACAAGTAAATATAAGAATAAAGTAAAATTAAATAGAAGGGATGAGTAATACAATTACCTTATTATTAACACTATATTAATCCAAGGAAAGACTAAGCATTAAGTCTTACAAATAATGGTAGGTGAGGAGCAAGTTTGCCTTTGACTAAACACATGATTAGCCAATTATAATTAAAAGTATTTTTTTTACATCAAATTTTTTTTCTTTCTTTTTTAATAATCCATAAATTCAACTGCAATAGAACGTTATTATCTTTGAGAAGTAGAAAATAATGAGCTTTGATTATATAGATGTCCATGATAGAATTCAAACCCTAGACTTTGTGAGAGCAAACCATAAACTTGACTGTTCAACTAACCTCTTATAGGTGAAATTTAAGTTTCTATTTATATATATGATTTCTTTATAAAACGGTGCCAATTTCATTCTTAAAGAAAGACTTGTGAACGTTACATTAATAGGCATGTCGATATATGTGCAAATTAAGCATATAAATTCTTGTTCACAAAATAATGTAACATAACTGTATTCTTGTCATATCATTTATCTACATTATGCTAGTCAATTCTTTTGTACCACATCAATTTGTATATAAAAATTTATATATAAAGTTCATACATTTAGAATTATTCTAACTGAATCCTTAATAGCAATAGAAACAATATGAGATGAAAATGTGAGATTCAAGTGAGTTTAATCTCCCTTTAGCCCACGAAGATCAATTTATCAGGCCCATACAGGAAGCTTCTCTGGACTACAATAGAGGTCCACA